CGTCACCCATTATACAACTAATTATACAACTGATAATAGTGTACTTAATTTGTTAGTTCTGCAGTTCATGAGCTGTTAAGTAAATTATTATTGCTTAATGATAGCGATTGTATGTCAGTTTGATCTAATTGATATCTAGAAAGCATCTTTGGGTAATATAATCACATGAAGTATATGTTTGTTGTGCTTGTAGTTATGTGTAAATAGAAGTACAAACAAACTCTGCTACATTCCCTTGTTAATTAGTGCAGAGACCAGAGAAACGGCTCACATGACAAATATTTTTACAAGGTGATTTTCTCCCAGTCTAAAGCTTAATTGCACATTAGTTAAGCTTGATGTAGAATCCTGAGGCTATTGTCTGAGCTACTATCATTTATATTAGATTCCCCTCTTTCTCTTCCATTTGCTCTCCCTCTCAGTCCTCTTTTTTTCATCCCGCTGCTCTTGTTTTATTAGAAGTCATTTTCGGTGCCTTTTCTTGTTTGTTGGGAAGTGACACAGCACTGACCTGTAGCGGTCCCAGTTCCACCTGATTAAAAGCTTCACTCTTTGCGCCTTTGAGACAGTTTCTTTTCTCCGGCTCCCTTTCCCTCAAATCACGCTAAACTAATGATGACTAGGAGGACAGCCTGCATGACTCAAGCAGTGAAGGATGCTGTTTTAGCCTAAAATTAAAATGAGGGCCAGCGGTGCAAGTAGGCTGCTTTAATTGGCCATCTTGACTGCTCGAGCAAAGCGTGCCTTTCATACGAGTAAACAAAGGTTAGGGCACTGATCCTACAACATTTCATCACATTTTTTGAGAAATTAGCCAGATAGGTTTAAGGGTGGGTTCTCTTGAGACATCTAAAGGTTACGGAAGAGGCATTGAAGGGAAAAGTAAGCAAAGCTGAATTATGTCTTGACCAAGGGGTCAAGGTTTAGCTGGTTAGCATGGCCCAGTTAGTATGACCCCTGCTGGTCAATGCTGAAATCGTACCATCAAAATGCCTCTTTCTCCATTCATCAATGTAGCTTTAACCAATCATATATATATATATATATATATATATATATATATATAATATTGAATTATATTATATTCGTTTTTTCTTCCAGTGTTATCTGGAAATCATTTTTCTGTAGTGACACATGATGCTTCAGAAATCTGCTGATTTGGTGCTCAGAAACAGAAACAGTAACAGATTTAATTTATCTTTTCTAAATAAAAATGTTAATTTCTTTAAAAAATTGTCAAAATGACCCCAAACTTCTGAACAATACTGTATACCTCAGGTGATTGGCTCAAAACGATTGTGTCCAGAACCGAGTACCCATGAGCGAAATGCAGAATTCAAAGCACGTTCTTCCAAAGGCATGCCTTTGAGATGAATAGGAATGCTAACAAATATCTTTCTTTGGGCTAGTCCAGGAGTTTTCATTTTTTTAATGCCAAGGATCTTAATGGATCCAAGAATTTTAATGCCAAATAAGATGATTCACTTGTGATGATCTCTCTTTGTAAAATATAAAAACAGCTGTTTTGTCTTCTCTTGAAAATGTTTACACTGTAAGGAGAGATTAACACTAAATAAATGTAATTCTTATCGTTAAAAACTAGGGCTATAATAGATAAGATGCAATTATATGCAATTATTCATAACTACATGTAAACTTTGGAATGGAAAGTATAAATAGCAATGACAATGCGGAAAAGAGAGGGTGCACACACAGAGGTAGTTACCAAATTTATCCTGAGACTCAAGGGCTGTGCAGGAAGACAGGCCATGATTTCATCGTAGACATTTGGGCAGTTGGAGACCAGTGGGAAGTTCAGGGATTACCACTTTCATCATTTCCCAGACTGAATAAATTGAAAATGGTAAACAAACTGGCAGCATTCAATTTATGCTTGTCACCTGGTCGTGCTCGCAGGCTGCTTTATTTCCTTATCAATGGCATGCAGTTTCTCCTCAGCCAGTATTGTTTTGTGGTGAAGCGTGTTAAGGTAGCTTGCTCTGGGACCACAGTCGCATGCCCTGCGGCTCAGCTGCACTTGGAGCTAATAATGTGGATTTTAACCTCTACTTCCTTTACATGCTCACAACCTTGGAAAGAATGGCCTGCTTCTCTCTCTCTTGCTCTCTCTATCGTCCACAGGCAAGCAGTCTTTGGTTTCAATAGCATCCTGATTTATCTTAAGCCTCCATGCTGGTATGTATATAATCAAAGATTTAGAGAAAGCAGGAATGTAAACAGGCAGTTAGCAAGCCTAAATAATTCTGTCACCTTTGTGTGAAGCCCACAGCTTGCATTTTTAGCATAACTTTAGTCTGTTTATCCAATAAATGAGAGATCATTTGTGTGAATGTTCTCCTGGTTAGCTGCGTCTTTATGGTAGGAACAGCTTGCTCCATCTTGCACCATGTGTCCCCGTCTCCCCTCGAGAACCAGGCGCATCGCTCGCTCTCTTTCCGTCTACCCTCTCTCTCTAGCCCCACTGCTTCAGCCCTGACCAACTCTGATTGATTTCACATCTGTGAAATAAAGCTTAGCCGAAAAATCTAATTAGGTTTCACAATGAGCAAAAAAAAAGGGAGAAATGGCAGCGACATATGGAGTTGGCTTCGCAATTAGTATCTGTAAACATGGATTAGACATTAAAACGATGAGGGAGAGAACATGCAGGCTGTTTCTGCCTATAATACCTTCTGTTCCAAAAGTCAAAGAGGATGTCTGGGAACTTGCGACAACAATAGATCACTGTGGTTTTAATACAAATCGGAGAGGCGCGACACTTTGCCGCACTTTCCCGTTTCGATATGAACTGCGACGGAAAGAGAGTTTAGCGCTTTCGAAGCCGCCTGCCATTCTCCATGGCACCCATAAATTGTATGTTTGATTGATAGAATTTCGCCCATCACTCTTGCCGAGCATCACAGACAGCCATTAGAGCAGGAGAACAGAGATGAATCACTTCAGCCCTGAGTCAAGTGAAATTTACGGAGCAAACATCTTCAAATACCATTTTAATGGCTTACCTTTCCCAAGGACCCCTCTCTCTCTCCTTAAGGCTATTTGGGCTGAGGCTTCAGAGGAGATGATTAAAAATTAATATTAGTTCAGGATTGACGGCAAACACCATTTGATGTCTGCCACAAAGGGGTTATGGGATTGTGGACTTTCGGATGGATTCACGGCCACAGGAGACCCAAGTTTATACTTTTGTGGAAAATGCTGGAGGGGATGATGAGATGGTGGAGGTGGGTTGGGGAGTTGGCGTGGGTTTGCTGGTTAGTTGGATTGCGGATAAATGGTGATGGTTGGAGCGAGTTTCATTTTTCGCAGTCTGATGAACTCTGTTGCAAAATGTTTTAAGGAAGCAGATCGCTGAAAGATGTGTTTGGTGAGATTAGAATACCTCTATGTCGATGGTCTTTGAGTCCAGCTTGGGCAGCTCCTTGGTTTGAGCCCTGATGTAGCATCTCTGGTGCTTGGCAAAACGAATGCCCGTGATGCCCTTGAAAGACATAAATGTTAATGAGATTGAATGTTTATTCCATGATTTGAAAAATATCAGCATCTGACCTCAAATACTCTCACAAAAACACCCCGAAGCCTTTTCAGTGCAGCGCAGATACAGCGAATGTTATATAACTAAAGCAACGGGAATAATTTCCTAGCCAATTCAAGATTATTGGTCTACAGCCCCAGCCAGTAGAGAGGTATACTGCCGAAGCCATGATTTATATGTAGGCAAAGCCCATTGATTTGCAGCACTTATGGTCTGTGTTGCGAAGCTAATCTGTTTGGTGAAGTGAGGAGCTTTTTTCCTGAAAGCCACAGCTGATGGTCTGCCATACAGAATTTGTTGCTTTACACTTGAAAAGAGAAAAACCCATTTTGCAGGAGCATCTGAAGAAAGTTCTTTACTGTCTGAAAGTAGTCTTTGAAGGGAAATAAAGGCTATCGCATTACAAACTCTTCACTCGGAGGGATAAAAACAATATCTCCCTGCATTCAGCAATACATTAAGTAATCCACAGTTGCTCTGGTTTTGCTGCTGTAGCATAGGGAAAGTGAGAGCGAGTATGATGCTGTCGGAGCTGAATTATTTCTGCAGTATTAACGGAAGCATCATAAATTCATGTGTTCTGTCTTCTGTGCTCTTTACTGTTAGACGGCATACTAACAATGGTCATTTTCACCTAAGCTCATCGGTTAGTGAAGAAACAGTTATGAGAGGAGTGAAAAGTGCATTGTTTGTGCCGAAAAATCATTGTGACAAATTGCTCTTCAATTTCTGGTAATGGTTTGCTTTTGCACGCAAGACGGACCTATCTTCTGATGAAATGCATGTATTGCTGAGCCTGGTCAACTGGAAAATGGAGAGACTCTTCATTACAGGGATAAAAAATCAGAAAAGAATGTCATTTAAGAAAGAGTGTTGAAGTACAGCTTTGCTATTAGCCAAATTAAATGTGTGCATGCTCTGAGACAATTATTCGAATGGAAGCACTGAATGATGCAATTGGCAGAGAGGGCAAAGGAGCGCTGATCCAATCATTTGCACATTACTCGTATGTAGATGCCCACACCTGTTTCCACCAGTTATTGGTTTGAGAGACAACAAATACTGCTTTCTGAATGCAGGTGAAGTCAAGGGCTGGCGCTAAACCGAATTAGCACTGAGGAATCACTCTTAACATCATTACTAGATCTAAGATCAGACTTAATCTGTTTCTGGGAAACTGACCCTGGCAGTATACTGTTTCTGTATTAGGATGTTATAAACAGACTTTGACTTTGTTAAGAAATTCTCCCTGCATCTTTACCGACCTCTTGTATCATCAAATGGGCGGTAAGATAGCTCATCTTGTCTTCTTGTAGGACAAACTAATCATTGTTATTCTCCACACTGATGGACATAGACAGTGATTATTGGCAAAATCATTTAAAGCCTTGCTCTCAGCCACTTTTGTAACTGGTTTTTACAAGACTACAACGGTTGGAGAAAAATGTGCCATTTGTACATTTGGAAACCCTTTTGTTTGTAGCTCTTTTGCACTTTCCACCTCAGAGTAAAATATTCAAAAATTTAAGTTACAAAGTCAAAACAAAGCTGCGCAATTGTGAGAGTTGCATATGCATAAACAACCATTTAGAAGTTTTGGGGTCTGTAAAATATATAATTGTTTTTGAAAGTATACTTTGGTGCTGCTTAATATTTTTGTGGAAACCATGATACTTTAGAATTCTTTAATGAATAGAAGGTTTTAAAAACAGCATTTATTGAAATAGAATGTTTTGTGACAATGCAGGTCTTCACTGTCACTTTTGATCAATTTATTGCAACATTGTAGAATAAAAGTAATAATAAGTAATTAAAAAATCCCCAAACTTTTGAATGATATGCAATTATATATGCAGTATACGCAATGATTTCTGGACATTAAATAAATAAATGTAATGGAAATTCACTGGTACTCTACATTGTATTGCAGCAAAATATATCACTGGAACATGCTGAAGGACACTTTATGACTTTTTGTTCATAACACAGTCTATGCGATGCGTCTCCTTGGCTTTCCTATAAGCTGCTGTTGTGGAATTCTCAACATTACTTTTAAGTTTCTGGAGAACACTCAGAGTACTTGTCTAAAACAATAGAGAAAAGATTTTGCTTGTGTTTCTGTTGGCATTACCACTGCTTTTCCATTCATGGGCTGTAGCCTCCAAGCTCTGTGGAGATGGTTTGTAGTTTTAGTGTGTGTAATGACTTGCAACATCCCTCCTTCACAAAAATCAATTCCAAAGTCTGCCCTGAGCCAGAAGTTGCAAGAAGTGCCGAAGAGGGCTCGGTGCTCGAACTCCACTTTCATTTATATCAACATGTGATTTGAAGGATTTTACCTATTCACTTGTTTTCTGGTTTCCCATGGCAATGCCTTGAATGAAACTAATCTCTTTTGTGGCTTTGCTCCACTGACCATAGTAATTTCGAAAGAAGATGGGGCCAGCAACAAGTGTGTCTGAATGCTGATGCGAGATGTCATCGCTGCCAGTTTGCTTTTGCTTAGCACAGTGTTTTTCAGAGATTCAATATCATTAGTCTGAGTGAAGAAGAAAAACGTTCTGTCTGTATTTTGAATGCAGTTCCTAGGCGGAGACTCGGATTGCAGGAATGTGAGCTGAATCTCTCACATCACAATGAAAATATTTCACATGTATGTCATAAACCCTTACATTTTTGAAGTCATGCACCTCCAGGACCTCGTCAGTGCCGTTTCCCATCCTGAACATCTCGATGCGTTTCGCTGGATAGATTTCCATCATGCTCTCAGTCTCCATTCCATCCAGTACGGCTTTATACTGATGATCATATACCTGTTCGGACACATACAACCCAACATAACAAATTAAAAACACAGTGCTACTAGAATATCCTGTCTGCAGCAATAGAATGTTCCATTTAAAATAAACTGGATTTCACTGCATGACATAAAATATCAAGTGGGATCTGAAAGCTAAATTTAAAGCTACATTTACTTTTCTGAGACGTTGATATGTTTAAATGTAAACGTCTCAGAAAAGTAAATGTAGCTTTAAATGTAGCTTTTATTTTTATTTTATTATTATTTAGGAACTAGCAGAATAACCACATTTGTAGTTCATTGTACCGATGTTTGAAAACCAGAAAGTGTAAAGTATTTGTAATACTTTAATAATTATTAACATAAAAAATGTCTTTTTAACATCATACCTGTAATTTAAACTCTAAGAAACCTTTTGCGAAATGTTTTGCTTTAAATAATTGTCATTTGTTTTGCTATTTTTATAATACTTTTTAAAGTGTCCAAGATAATGCTGCATCTAGGAACACCGATTTAGTTCTCATCGCTTCTCAAAAAGTTTTTTTTTTCCACTCAATGAAAGTCAGTAAGGTCCCGACTGACTTCCATTGTATGGACAAAAACAGAATAAAGTCTTCTTTTATGTTCCACAGAAGAAAGTAAGTCACACAGGTTTGGAACGACGTTACATTGTTCTGTAAATGATGACAGAAATTTTATTTTTAGTTGAAATATCCCACTAATATGCACTCGCTTTATGAATCTTTCCTGGTTCCTCATTAACACAAGGATCATATCTTCTGTCAAAGCCAGTCAGTTTGCTCAGGCTGACGGGCAGCATGACTACGACCTCTATTAATAAATGTGAACAGGCAGCTGCCTTTAGTTGCCATAAGTACGCTTCAAGTAGACTTGACTTAAATGTCTGATTTGTCTGATTGTCTGAGGTCTCGGAAGCATTATATGGCTTTTCTCGTTGCCAGGCCTTGCAGCGCTGCTGTTTATCTCAGCTCTTTCTTAAATGCTGTTTTTGGGCATGCATGGGTGGCTCCTCTCTGTCTACAAAAATGATTCATGCCCACCAGCCGAAAACCCTGCTATTAATATTTATGTGTGTGTTGTGTTATGATGAGAAATTACACTGCTGAGCTCACCCTCATCTGTCTCAGTAGCATTTCTGAGTAATATGTTATGCTTAGACATAAGGCAAAAGATGCACACACACAAATATAATACTACATTAAGATTAATGTCACAAATCAACGTGTTTTCTGATTATTAAAGTGCTTTATGCAGTGTAGCATAGAGCAGTAAACACATCATTTAATATCGACTTGTTTGTCAGCTCTGTTGTGGAGAGTGTAATGTATTGAAATTAGCTTGAAAGTAACTTCTGCACGGATCTGCATTTGTATTCATCCATATACAAAGAGGAAGTTATGTGAAGACGTAAGTGTATGAGTGTGGCAATAGCAGAACTGATTGGACTACAGTGAGTTGTAAAGAGAACGAATTATAGAATATTCCATTACTGAGAAGAAGTGGGGAGATATAATGCTTTTATTAGTGTTTTTATTAGTGCTTTGTTTATTCCTGCAGTTTGAGGGGGTAATTTTGTTCTGTCGATGCTTTATTGATTGAAATAACTTTCAATCAGTCTGTTCATCACAGAGCTATCAGAAGGTGCTTTTTGAAATGTTACAGCCCCAGTGTCCATTTATTTTCATTATATATACAGTATTTTTTTTATTAATTTTTTTGCTCCACAGAAGAAATTCATATGGCTTCGGAACAACATGAGGTTGATAATGACAGTTTTCATTTTGGCAGGAACTATCCCTTTAAGAACATAATGAAGAGTTAATGAACTGGGTGTCCTGTGAAGGACCTTGTCAGTGTCAGTCCAGCTTCAAGTTACTGCAGGCATTCTTATTGATTAAAATTGCAGAGCTTTTTAAATCCCCATTCCCTGTCTTTTTTTGTTGTTGTTGTTACTCTCGTGTATTACGACAAACCTCAAAAGACCTTCCCCTTTAGCATATTTAACCTAACTAATTTTGTCTACTCTGTGCTTTCTTGTATCCAAGTTACCGGAATAGATGACAAAAAAGGCTAGATATTACAAAGAAATAATGATAATGAAAGTAAATTAGCTCTCAGCACTATGGGAGAGTACTGGAGCTCAAGGCGAAACACAGATAAATGTATTCATTAGTGCACCATCATGCAGATACCTTGAGCACTGCATTGATTCGTGTAATACAGTGTTTGCTTTTTCAAATTTCAGACACTCAATAAGCCTACGGTGATCATGCTACTTACCTGACAGGATCAAATATTATTTAATTTAATCATCGTCATGCCAGAATTCTCACAAAACATTAAAAGTATTGCAAATTGAGGTGATAATGGACATTATTACAATATTAACAAATAAAAAGAACTGTTAAAAGGTTAGTTTAGGGCTTTTCTTAGCAAATATTGATAAATGTCAGTGATTCTCAATCTGTAGTGGTTGTCTGATACTTCGATAGTATAAAATAATGGTCACACTTTGTTTTAAGGTCCAATTCTCGCTATTAACAAACCATTAACAATGACTTTTGCCTCAGTAAACTCCTAATTTGCTGCTTATTAATAGTTAGTTGTTGAGTTTTGAGGTTTTGGGTAGGATTAGGCATGTAGAGTACGGTCATGCAGAATATGTGCTTTATAAGTACTAATAAACAGCCAATATGTTAATAATAGGCATGCTAATAAGCAACTAATTAATAGTGAGAATTGGTCTCTATATTAAAGTGTTACCAAAATAATGAACTGTGGTTTAATTTTGATTACAGAAGATTTAAGAACTGTTCTCCATTTGTACAACAGTTGTTGAGGGCACAAGTTAAATTAGTCTCTTTTTTTAAATGCTGAACAACTTAATTTTAAATTATGACTTAAAAATTAAGTAAACAAGTGTCCACCTAGTTGAGAATCCCTTATGTATATATGCAATGAATATGATGCGACTGATTAATTGGAATGCCATGTATAAATAATTCAATAATTATTATTTTAAATCGATTGACAGCCCTATTTTTAAAATTCCTTTTCAACTGGTCTTGTACTTCATGTCACAATTTTCCAGACATTTTTTTTTGTCCATGATATTGATTCGCTTAGTTGGTCTCAAAACAGCAAAAAATAGCTGTATTACAGGACAGAGAAAATGTAATATTGTATCCCTGGGAGATCACAAGAATGTACTGGCAAGTTCAGAGCCTGCTCATGATATATTGTTAAAATCGTCCCTAGTGCCTAGGCCTTGAGCTCTCAATTCCTGCCAAACTCATTACTTTATAAAAGAGGCATTTGAGAAGCATAGTCGTTTGTTTACATTTTTGCAGGTACGTCATGTGACCACCATAGGAGCTTTTCAGACTTATGACAATCTACGCATTGAGAATTCAGGTAGATTACCCATAATCTACTTCCCGGTGATGCCACCTGGCTTTAATATACTTCAAGTACTCATGATAGATAACATGTGGAGGAGTTTTCATAGTTCTCTTGTTTACTTCTTTTCATCTACTGCATGTCTGATCTCTTAGGTGGCCAAGCATACGGAGACTCTCAGGAGAGACCCACCCCGAGGGGAATTAATAACAGACAAGGAAGCCAATGAAGTCTGAGAGTGGTTTGCATCATCGTGCCCTACTTGTACCCTGAGGACGCATGTTAAAGGTCGTCCAGACACTGTCACAGGTGAGTGGAGGAGAGAGGCTAGTGCGCTCATGACAGCGTGTCCCCTCGCTGTCCTTAAGGGCCTAGAGATACGACCGCCCGTCAGAGCGCAACATGATGGCTGTCATTCAGAAGTAAGACGATGACTTCACTTGTGTCCTTACCCTGCTGAGAAGAAGACCTGAGACGTACCAGTGTCAACGGCACTGCCACGTTGCCAGCCTTATCGCGGAGGAGTGCGATTAAACTCCAGTAATTGAGTTGTCTTGCGCCTCAAGAATATCTATATTCCTCTCAGAATTGCTATTTTATTTCTGTGCTTTATGGGTTTCTTGTTGTTTTAGGTGTACAAAGCGAGTGAAAAATCCATCAGACTCGAGGGCTGACAGATGCCACCCAACGAAATAAACACTAACTGGCTTTCAGTTGGCGCTGAAATATAGTACTTTGACGAAGGAAGTGTGAGTACAGCTGTAGATTTAGCACTGGTTTGGTTGCAATACGTGAATCACCTGCAGGGTGTGCGGTCGTCTCTTCCCCTCTGCTTCTCTCCAGCAACCCTGCTCTCCACACGCTCCCTGCACTCCCGCGAATGATGATTTAACAACTACTATTCACATGGGTAGTCACATGATCACAGCAAATTCCTCCCTGGGGTTGAGCTCCCCTCTGAAATGTTGTTATGAGAGGTTTTTTTCCTCCTCCTCTGACTTCCCTATCTCTGTTTTCCACATTTTTTCCCCTTTATTTTGAGTGAAAAAGAAGTAAATTTTTCTTGCAGATTCAAAACGAACACAGCTGCAACTGTCACAACATCCCCCACAGCAACACTGCCATTTTTACAACTTCCCTACTTCCTTTGGTTTCTTTTGCCATTAGGAAAATTAAAGACACCCTTCATTCGATCGACAGCTTGGCTTTCATCTCATAGAAAAGATGAAGTGACACTAGTGTATGAGCTATAATGAAAGCTGGATTCTCTAAAAAACGAGACACCCTAAAGAAAGAAAGAAAGAAAGAAAAAAAACTCCAGGGTATATTGCTGTAAAATGAAGATCCCCTCAGGAAATAACTTCTCCAGATCAGTTGGAGACAGCGGTGCAGATGGCATTCACATGTGCTCAATGCATGTCAAAAGCCACTGTGTGAGCTACTGTGTAGTTATTATTCTAGGAATTAAATGATATTCTCATTTCAACGTGCGCTAAAGATAACAATTCGCCCATTGATGGGCTCTTCATTACCGCCCTGATCTGGTCTGATTCCATTTTATCTGCCCTGAATGGTTCAGATAACAGCGGGTTC